ACACACACACACACACACACACACACACGCACACACTCTCGAATGCTGAGGTTCAAGGTGATTTCTCCTTGCTACAGGCAGGGGGCTCTAGAGTCTGGGACAGACAAAGAACTAGCAGAGCTTGCTCTGGAGTGGAGGGGAGTTGGCAGTAGCTGGACGTAGTGGACAGATATGATTGCTGGGACAATGCACATTCCTCATCACATTTTCTGTATACAAAGAGCAGACGGTTGTGTCACAGAATCACAGGCCTTGTCTTGGCCCTGACGTCCCTACATGGCTTTTCCTGCCTTGCTGGGACAATGCACATTCCTCATCACATTTCCTGTATACAAAGAGCAGACAGTTGTGTCACAGAATCACAGGCCTTGTCTTGGCCCTGACGTCCCTACATGGCTTTTCCTGCCTTGTATTCTTAGCTGTCTTTTCACAACTGATATAATTGTGTTTCCCCATCTGTGAGTTTTCCAGCCTTTTTTTGTGTCCATCCGTGCAAAACCTCTTTTGTAACCATTCGTTTTTCTGAAGTGAGTTTCATACTTGCTAAGGTCAGCATAACCCAAGGTGTGGGGCATAAGAAAACACACATCGCCCTCCCACACGACACTCCTGCGGGAACCCTGTCAGTTGCACATGGGAAGGAGACAGAACCAGTGGCAACTTGTTGAAGGTGGCAGCACAGGCTCAGCAACGAATACACCCCCCAGTCCTTGCTAATAACTGGGCCTGATTAGGCAAAAAACCTCAAAAGAGCAAAGATGCAGGAAGCCAGCTGTGCTCTCAGGAGGAAGGAAAGGGTGGAAGTGTAGAACGCAGGACGTGAGCGAATCTCACTCACCACATTGAGAACTAGCTACTTTGATGGATAATCTTTCATTATTGATGACTGTCTACAGCTGAATCTTGAAACTGCTTACTAGAAACTTAGAGGTCATCGAACAGTCAGGGCTAAGAGTCCAAGAGTCATCACATCTCAAGAACTTTTGAGAATTTTGACCCGCAGAACTGGTACTGTAAGTTTTTGTGCATGAGTAGGTAGGGTTACAAAAGTCCCAAAAAAGACTAAAACCAAACCAAAACTCAAACTATTAAAGTAAAACATTTGCATGTTTGACTATTACTTTAAAAAGTTTTCTATAATGTCAAATGCATCATTAATAAAACACTTATCTTGGCCACAGAATCTTAAATATTTTAAATCTCATAAAGTTGTTTCTTTGAAGCAAAGGCTACTCAGTTTCTGTGGCTAAATATTGGCTTTGGCGCCATCTGATGGCCCAATAGGTAACTGCCGCTGCCCGTCCACCCACTTTTGTTGTCAAAATGGCTAATTGCAAACCTCCAGCGTTGACCAGTAGCCTAATCTGGAAGGCCTCACATGATGATCTCCCCTAAATACTTTTTACAATTTAAGAACTAAATTTAAACAAAACTCTATGTTTTTAGAGACCTTTAAAAATGGATACAAACAACATATAGAAAAAAAATACAGATTTGAAGAAAAAAACACCTAGAAATAATGTTTTTATGTATATTCTTTAAAATTTTTTTTTTACAAAATATGGGATGAAATCCAACTAACATGTTGTATTGTATTTTTTTAACTTAACAGTTTCTTATAACCTTTCTCTCTGTGTCAATATATATGCAACCAAATCATCATTTGTCATAGATGACTAGTTTTTTGTTTTATGAATATATATGAGAGTACTTCAAAATATTCATGAAAAAATAGAATTAAAAGATTATACAAAAAGAGAATGACATCGTCAGGATGATGGAATAGCTGATCCCTGATGCTGCTCCCCACCACAACTGATCAACTGACAACTATTAAAATACAAAACAAAAGACTAACATCCTGAGATCGCTGAAGCTCAGGGAAGAGTAGGAGCGACCCACAGGGTTTGTGAAGGTGTAAAAGGTTATGGTAAGACTCAACCTGACCATTTCAAGCCCTGGCTGCTTAGGAGGCTGATGTGGTCCAAGGCAAGGAGCAGCTGCCAGAACATGGAGCAGGTACCATCATTTGCATGAAGCTACTTGGAGTGTGCAGGGAGAAGGGTGCATTGGAGGCACCATCGCATCTTCCAGGCCAGCAAACCCACTAGCAAGCTTCTCCTGGACCTGCATAAAAGCAAGGGACCATAGCTCACAGGAGGGAGGAAACACCTAGAGGTCAGTGAGTTTTTGTGAGGGACTTGTGCATGGCCTGCCTCACGGGAAATGTTTGCAGTGATGGGTGGAGGCTGACCCACCAAGGAAGCTTGGGGTGCAGGGTAGGCAGAAGATCTGCTTTGCGATTGTCATGAGTGCCACATAGTGGAGATCTGTCAGGGCAATAGAACTGTAGGGGGTGCAGTCTTCAGGAAAGACTCAGTCCTGGGCTGGAATTTCCACACAGCCCAGTTGTGTCTATGGTGACCCAACAAGAATCAGATATGAATAAAGGGCCAATGGTTAAAATCTGATCTGCACAGAAAGCCTTTCCCTGTTTGAGACACAGCAGCAAAATAGCAATCTAGCTCAGGTACAGAGCTCCAGTTCTAGTCCCCACAGAAATCTTCCCCCAATTT